TTGTTTCAGATTGTTTGTTTTCTCTGGGTGTAAGGAATTTTCATTCTTGTTTTCCTTGAAATTTTGTGTCTCTCTGCTGTACTGTCACAAAAAACAATGAATTATGAGAGAGAGAGAGGCTGACAAAAGTTTTTTTGTTAGGTAAAGTCAGGTCTGATAACCCAACATGCTCAGATCTGCTGCCTCTAGTAATTAAAGTTCACACCAAAGACATAAAAACATCCATCTAATTCTTCCTTGATTGTTAAATAATTCTATTAATTTTCTGTTTCATCTTTGGTAATTTTATGCATGTATAGTATATACACCAACACACAACAAAACTATGTAGTATGCACTTCTAGCAAACCTTTTTTTTAGGTTAAAATAGTATTTCAGAGTTTTTTCAAAAATTTCATATTTTAGTTTATATACTTCCAACTTTGGTTTATTTTATTTTATTTATTATTTTTTTTAGTACAACATGTTGGGGAGTGGATTCGAACTCACAACCTAATAGTTGGAGGTATATGTCAATTATGCTGAACTATACTAGTTTTGGCGGTTCATTTTAGTTTTTATACTTTCAAAATATTTATTTTGGTTCCTATACATTTAAAAGTAACTATTTTGGTCTGATAAAAAAAAAGTAACTATTTTGGTCGTTATTTTCAAAATTTTAACATAAATTCTACACATAATATGAACTCTTTAATATAAAGTCATTAGATTTCAAGAAATATATTGAGTGTGTAGTGTGGTTTTGAAGTTGTGGTAGAAAAAATAAGATTAATTTTAAAAAATAGAGGAACTAACGTGAACATTTTGAGACTATAAAGACTAAGATAAACCAAAATTGAAACTCTAAAGATTAAAATGACCACTTGAAAAGTAGAGAGATCCGAATGAACATAAATCAAAATTGTAAGACCAAAATAATATTTTTAACAAAAAAAAAATTAAAATATACATAGAAATACCCGACTAGCCCCGTCGTATTCCGGGGTCGATTTTGGTCGATTTTATTCATCAAGAAACAGATCTTGTCCTCTGGCAAATTTGGAAACAAAACAAGTTTTTCCTTTGTTATCTATTTTTGTGTTGAATTATGGTGTGTCCAGGCATGAAAATCTCAGCAATGGGTGCATAGATACAATGGTAAAAATAAAAAATAATGATAATGGCAAAAGAAATCATGTCAAAACACAGCGCAGCAGACTGAGGTGGAAGTGAGGACTGAAGAGAAGATAGCCAACACAGAGAGTCAGAGAGACAAATATACCTCATTCATTTCCGGGCCATTTTTGTGTGGACCTCTCAATATAGCCTTTGATTTAAAATAATTCACTGCATGCCCCCCATTAATTTACTGCACCCCACTTTTTACCTTCATTATTTACCTTTCCTTTTCACAACTCACAGCCTCAACATGTGATCCACAGTGATCTCTCTATGGTATATAAATTAGGATTCGAAACTATCTGGATTCGACTATAGCTTAGTATATAAGTATTTATTACCGTCTTAGAAATAAGACATTGAAGTTGTATTTGATGGTATATTCCACGATGATAAAACAGTTGTGTTGTTTTCAGATATATATATATATATATATATATATTTTATTTCATAATCTGAAAAACTGTTTTAAAAACATCCCACAAAAACATATATCACGATCAAGTGACTTTGAATATGAATTATGTATTAAACAAGTCTTAATTAGTACTCATATTTTTTGCATGGTTGTTGCTCATTTTTTACATACGTTGAGATGTTTGCATCTCAATTTTAATAAGTTTGATATTATGTAGCTTATGTATTCTTTCCTTTTTTTTTAATCCATGTATGATACACCAAGTATACCCATAAACATAGACTTGGTATTGTAACTTGTGAGTCAAATGCCCTAGGTTTTTATTATATTTATCTCTCTAGTAATTGTTTATTAATCTGACCAAAAGATCGTGAGTCGAATTCACTCCTCCATATGTTATATTTAAAAAAGTAAATAGTTTATTAATTAATTTTTTTAAAAAAATATATAAATAAATGACCCAGGTAGCTGATACTAATAAAAAATTAAACGACACTATAAACAAAAATATATATATATATATATATATATATATATGAAGTTTATATGAAAGCACTTTTAACAACAAATTTTGTGGTTAATAATGAGAAAAGTTTTATATTGAAGTAGATTTAAGCTATTTATACAAAAACAACTCGGAAACTATAAACTATGTGTTCCCTTTATTCCTTACCTATTCTTGATTCATTTCTTTATAAACATGATTAACTGGTGATATATCATCAAGGGGATTTTCTTTTAGTACAACTAAAATTTGAAGTATGGAGATTTGAACCACCGATTTTAAGAAAATAAGTAGATGTCATTTGCTGTTAAGTTCACGATTACATCATCAAAAGGTTTATTACGAGAAGATCAGACAACTAGATTTGAGAGATGACTCACGAGTTTCTAAAAAGAAAATAATATAATATTACAAACGTGAAGATAAAGATTCCAAGTTTCAACCTTTAAGAAAAGCGATATTTTACCTGTCTTAATTAATCGAACCATGTTGATCTTAGGAAGAGGGGCTCAATTTTCCAACAACTATTCAAACCCACTTCCAAATTTTGCAGGCTTAAAATGGGTTGAAAGAATGAATTAAATAAATGGGCTATAATTTGAAACTTCAAAAATGGACTTGGGTTGAATGGCCCAAAACAGATGATGTGGACCACTCAGCCCAAATGAAAGCAATTCATGACTTGTGTAAGCAGGGGTAGAAATGTAAAAGCGTTCAATAGTTGCCGAGCCACTAAATAGTAAAATAAATGACAAAATATAACCCTCAAAATAATTAGTAAATTATTTCCAATTAATTGGCAACCATAAAATTATTAAGTTCCAACTTCAGTTTTTTTAATTTCAATTTCATCAAACTGTATTTCTTAAATTACACCTTAACTTGAATAAATGTTACCATCTTAACATTAACCTTTAAAAAGGTATTACAATTTTTACTTTCTAATAGATTTCTATTCGAAGAATTGTTATGTGTGTGATGAACTATAAAATATATATTTAGCATGAAATTGATAGATTTTTTTTTTCTTTTCAGTTTTGGTAGACTTATTTAAGGTCGATTTTGTGCATTAACCAAACTTTATTTTATACAAAATCTTACAGCTTTTACGTGATTCTCTCTCTTTTTTGGTTATAATTAGCGGATAAGTTAGCAGAATTTAAACATTAATGTAACATTTTCTAAGTTGAGGGTTTAATTTGACTAAATTGAAAGTCTAGGATGACGATTTATACAAACTCCCAAGTTGAAGGATAAAAGTGGATGCTTTCCTACTAAATAAAAGGAAACATTAATTCTTATTATGGATGTTTGAAATGTACAACAGTAGACACAATAATTTGGTAACCAAAATAAATGTAACTAAAAAAAAGTCAACCAATGGTGTTAGTAGATTAAACAATTATAGTACAATAAATTATAATAATCTTCTAATATATTAACAATTGCCCTAATCAATATTCAATCCCATGTATTTTGATGCCTATATTCGGTCAATAATCTATAATTATTACTCATTACAGTGGACCCAATAATCAATTTTAAGTTCATCACATATGAATAAGTCAAAATGGTCTATCATAGGCCATTTTAATTAYTTTATAAAATTAAATTATATTTTTGACTCAATTTCTAATAAAATCTCGATTGGGTCAATATAATTTATTTATGTGAAAACTAGAAAGATTGTTTTTCTCTCTAACGCATTTGTCTTTTTGAGATTTCAAGAAAATCCACTAGCAATGTCTAATCAACAAATCGAAGTCTCTTTGTTTTGGTTTCACTCAAAAGACTTCATACCAATGAAGATAATTGTCATTCCGATGGATCACACATTTTCCTAACCAAYGTGGGACTATGTTTGCACTCCTTACAAACCCARCTGTTCRAAAATTTGTAGAAGTCAAATTTAATGATCATCTTTCTAAATTCCATTCACTTTTTATTAAATTTTTATAGAAAATTTAGTTATATTTCTATAAAACAAACTTGTTAAATTATGAGTTTTATCATAAAACTAATAGATCTTCAAATTTTCAATTGTAAATCTAATAGATGTCTGTCAGTTTTTTTTGTCTTATATATATCTAATGTATTAGATTATTTTTAAAGTTTAAGAACCTAATAGATACAAAATTTATAGTTTAGAAACTTAGGTCTCGTTTGGTAATGTTCCTGTTTTTTGTTTTTGTTTCTTCATTTTTAATAAAGAAAAATGAATTGTATGGATCCAACATCCATGAATTTAAGTACGAATAAAATAATCTTTTTATTTATGTTTGGGACAAATTGGAAATGAGAACAAAAAAAGAAAAACTTGTTTGGATTGTTTCCAAAATTTCTATACTAGAATGTTCCCCCGAAAAAAAAAGACAAGAAACAAAATTAGTTACAAAATGTTAAGATTTTTTAAGAAAATTAGAAATGAGAAACGGAAACATAATCAATCGACCCTTATTTTACACTAAGAATCCGTCGGAAGCAAGTTTAAAGACAAATTTATAACTTATTAACTTCTTTGAACACTTTCTTCTACAAAAAAAAAGTGAAAAAAAACTTATGCACAAAACAATCTTCAAAAGCTACAAGCTCCATGTCAAAGAAGCAGAGATAAGACTTTTTTATCTAATAAAGCTCCAATTTACTTCGACGTGTCGCACACATTATTTCATGGAAGAACTTAATTGAGAAAAATCTATTGTCAATTCATAAAGGGTAAAATGGTCCAATTAAAAAGGTTAAAGCACTTTATTGAGAAAAATTCAAAACAGAATAGAAGAACATTTGATCTACTGAAGAAAGAAAAAACAAAAATTACAAAGAAGATATTAGAATGATAAGATTGAAAGGGTGGAAAGTGATGAGGTGTTCCAAAATTTTGAACATGTTTTTGTTTTGCTCTTTGCAGGGCATTAGATTTTCTTGGCCTTTGCCGTTTGCCTTCATTATATAACGCTCAGTTTTTCCACTTTCACTTTTCTAATCTTTTCTTTCATCTCTCTCTTCCTCTTCCTTCACTTTCTCTCTCCTCCAGGCAAAACCCTAAAGTGCCGTTTACTCCCACCCAAGTAAGTTTTCTCTCTCCTCTCTCTCTCTGTCTCTGTCTCCCCCCCCCTCTCTCTGAATATATATGGGGTCCTTTGTGTGCTCTTTGACCATCACTGACATTCATATATAAATATAGCTATACCCATTTTGTTCTTTAAACTTCTACTACATCCACACCAGATATATACATCTTACTTTTGTTTTTTTTGCTTTTGATGTGTCGAGATTTCGGATGGTTCGTGTAATCGAGTGATGAGACGTGAAATCTTTAATTTGGGTTCATTTTAGGGTTTTTGCTGGATGTTTATGTTGATGGATTAGAGGGACTTTAATAAGAACGATTAAAGAAAGCCCTTTTCTTTTAATTGATTGTGATTCTGGGATTTCCAATTTTGGACCTCTGAAGCATGAGGCGTTTAATAATCACCCGTTTTGGTTATCTGGATCTCGCAAGAACTAATTTTTAGTCCTCACTCCTCACTTTTGGTTTTAGAAAGATGGTTAATTTTTAAGTATTTGATCTCTTTCATTTTTCTCGGGAGTTCAATTGCAGCTCTATCTTTTAATTTTCAGGATTATCTAATTGGGTCCTAATTTTGTGGCATTCGCTTTCCATAATTCTTTGATATCTTGTGTAGTTGGAGCCCCTGTTCTTTTCCTTCTTAATCTTAGCTTCCGTATTTTGAATGTTTGTTTTTGCTCTCATATTTCCAGTACGGTTTGAGTATTTCTAACTCTCACTCAAAATGCTACAATTGGTGTGTTTACTACATGGGAGTTTTTGGAGCTTTGTAGTGAATTGTACTCACTGCTTATTTTGTTTACTCTGTAGTTATAATGGATGGTGATGCATTGAACATGCGTAATTGGGGTTACTATGAACCGTCCCTCAAAGCGCATCTTGGTCTGCATCTCATGTCTACAATTGCTGAGCGAGATGTGAAACATTTTTTGCCTGGTCGTGACCAGTCTGCTATTATTAACATGAATGGAGCATTTCATTCACGCGATTCTGCTGTTTCTGAAGCCCCGGTAACAGCAAACTGGGCAAGGGATGGTTGGATGAGTCAAAGAGACAAGTTTCTCAACATGTTACCCCCCAATCCAACTTACTCTGTTCTTACAGAAACTTCGGCTGCTCAACCTCTAGAAATGTTACAGCCTCCTGACACATCAAGAGATGAAATGGTCTGTAGGGTGGAAGAACCACCTGTGAAGAAGGAAGCTAAACAATCAAAGAAACGACAGAACGGAGGTGCTCCCAGAACCCCAAAACCAAGAAAGCCCCGTAAGCCCAAAAATGTTGATCCTTCAGTTCAGCAGGTGAAGGCACCAAAAAAGAAGATGGATCTTGTTATAAATGGGCTAGATATGGACATTTCTGGTATCCCAATTCCTGTATGCTCTTGCACTGGATCTCCTCATCAGTGTTATAGATGGGGTTATGGCGGCTGGCAATCAGCTTGTTGTACCACAACTTTGTCTATACATCCTTTGCCCATGAGCGAGAAGCGGCGTGGTGCAAGAATTGCTGGGCGAAAAATGAGTCAAGGTGCTTTTAAGAAGGTTTTGGAGAAACTAGCAGCTCAAGGTTATAACTTCTCTAACCCAATTGATTTAAGAAGCCATTGGGCAAGACATGGGACCAACAAGTTTGTCACTATCAGGTAGATTAACATGGTATGATGAGGATAGAGGGCCGAGTCTGTTTCACATGTACATATCTGTGGCCTTTTGCAGCAATCCTGGGGTAGCTTTAGCTGCTAACTTTGCTCTTTATAGTTTATCGGTTCGTGAAATTAGGAATTTCCATTCTCTTCGATCTTCATTTGTTTTGTAGGAGTTCATGATTTATTGGATTGTTCTTAATACTATTTCCTTTGGATCTTTTGTCTAAGATCAGTGATCTAATTATTATGTTAACTTTTTTCATTCCCGAGTGACAACAAAGTAAATTACATGGCAGCATAATTTTGTTGAAGTTCAACTGATTCAATGTAATGTACTCTCTTTTATCATTGTTGATCCATTTGGATGACCTCGGAGAGGCAGAACGCACAGCTGACTGTATGAACTTATTCAATATGTCTTCTCTGTCAACTTTTTCCCTTTAACAGAATCACAAAACACTTAAATATCATGGCATTTTAGATGGCCACGCATACCAAAATTTCTCTATCAACTGAGGGAGAAAGCGAAAAATACGAAAGCTTATTCAATTAGATTACTTGGGAAGATTATTTAGATTTTGACATGTTTATGTTGTAATTCTTATGAGTGGTCAGATACATGAACGTTGGATCTGATCTCTTGTTGTGACGTCTAATACATACTATCATCAGGCTGGCTTAATCTCAAACTCCCCCTGGTTTTAGGTATGAGTCTCATTTTTGTTCATGCATTTGATTCACATCTATGTCACTAGGAATCTTTGTCTCTGAAGTTTAGGACATTAGTGGAAATTCCTCAAGTTTTTGGTTCTACTAAGCTGTTGTCCATATATTCTGTTATTTTGCAGAGAGTCATCTGTAAAATAGCCAACTGATTCTATTCTGTTGATTATAGAAGTGAGATTTTCTTGAATCTACCTGAGCAAGAATGAATGTAGAGTTGAGTGATGAGATACTGAATATGTTTACAAAAGAAAGGATAGAAACTTGAGAAGGTTTGGGGCTTGAGATTACTGGAGGCTGAGAGATTTCATAAAGTAGTGATTACTGCACATGGTTTCTGTTAGTGTTATAAATATCTCTGAAATTAACTGAGGGTGGATTTGCAAAGGAGCAGGTTATAAACTGAGTTATCTTTTAGGTCCATAGACTTGAACTATAGTGTTGATCTATTTATGCTGTGCATAAGGTAAAGTTTTTTAACCTTGTATGTTGTAGAGTCAAGTTAGATAGCTCGAGTTGAAGTGCATGGGCTAGTTCAGACACTCGTCGTTAGTGAAAACAAAACAAATTCAAACTCGTCTCGATTGTTAGTTTCAAATGACTGTTAGAACGACTTGTAAATGTTGAAGTCATCTGGGAAGTTTGACATATTGGTGAGGACGGAAATTAAGAAAAAAACAAAAGAGAGCAGTTAACTAAGCATGTGTTCTACTGAATTCCCTAATTCTTATTTTGAAAGACTGCAAAACAGTTTGTAAAAGCAATTTTCAAAGATGCTGTTATGTTCAGTCAATTTTGAAACCCATAACATGAACAGAAAGATACCCATTTGAAAAGAGAGCAAATCTGAACTAATGTTTCATGTAGTGTTAGAGAGAAATTGCTGTATCTGAATACTCTGGTCTTGTACATGTCACTGCAGAACTTTGAATCTGATTGTGTTGTATGGTTAAGAAATCATTTTAATCTGATAATTAGTGTATAAAACTCCAATCTATAAGAAAAAGATGTCATTTATCGTGACACTGATTCTTTAACATGGAACTCTCAGTACAACTATTCTTTAAATTCAGCTACTTTCTAGAAGCCACCAAACAAGAATTTTCCTTCCTTTACCTTTTGAAATTAAAGTTAAGCCGTATTAGATATAGAAAATCTAAATACAACTCAGCAATAAAAGCGTGTGATCTAAATATCTCTCACAAACTCCATGGATGAATAAGATGGAGGGTGGAGCCCCAAAAAGAGAATGGAAGAAAAATAAGAAGTGAAGGGAATAATGATGGGGGAGAAGTAGTTTAGGGTTTATAATTAGAAGAGTAGAATTAAGAAGGCAAATGTTTGATTTGATTAGATAATACAGAAAAGGAAACAGGAGAAAAATGGAAGGTGGAGCCCTCAAAAATGAAGAGGGGAATGAGGGATAAGAATAAGAATAAGAAAAAAAAAAAAGAATAATAATAATAAGAAGAAGAATAATAATGGGTTGTCTCATGTGCAAAATTGCCCCTACTCCCAAACATGAAAACATGGTAGATATCGCTTTGCTCTCATTTGCTCATTTGCTCATTTGCTCATTTATATATATATATTTTTTAATTTAATATTTTGTTATTAAAAATTTTTAATTATTTTTAATTTGTTGCCCTTTCCCTCTCTCCTTATTTTAAAGCGACAACTACTTCTTTGATAGATACCCATTTTTAGCTCTCTCTCTCTCTGGTTTCTCTTTCCTCTCTCTCTCTCTCTCTCTCTCTGAGGTTTCTCTCTCCTCTCTCCTCTCTCCTCTCTCCTCTCTGTCTCTGTCTCTCTCTCTCCAGAAGGGCAAAACCCTAAAGAGCCGTTTACACCCACCCAAGTAAGTTCTCTCTCTCTCTCTCCACCCTTCTTTCTCTTTCTTCTCTCCCTTTCTCTCTCTCTAGTTTGAATATATGGGTCCTTCTTGTACTATTAGACCTGTTATCTGCAACCCCATATAAATATATGCATTTGCTTCTTCTATTGTTTATGTGAATTCCGGGATTTTGTTTTGCTGGGATCTGTGGGTTTTTTTTAGATTCCCAAGTTTTGAAACCCTAATCTGATTTTGCATGACGGAAGTCTGAGATCTGGAGTTTTCTTCTGGGGGTGACTTTTGGGGATCGGCTCCAGTTTATCTCTTGTTTTTTTGCTTCCGATGTTGTCAATGAGAATAAGTTTTTTTTTTTTTTAATTGATTGAAATGTTTGAATGTTCGATTTGTGGACCGCGGAGATGAGATCGTTACTCCAGTTTTCTTGATGGAAATTTTTCTCTGTTGTCCCTTTTATTGAATTGAATGTTGGATCTGGAATTCTATTTTGCCACGAAATATCTAGATTTTTCCTTCGTTTTCTCAGCTGCTCATTGAAGGTGGATCTTGATAGTAATTTTCGTCGTTTCCAATTTCTTGTACGATTTGAGCTGCTCGTTAATTGTTCTTCTTAATTGTCTTATCCCTTTTTCTATACCCCTTCCCCATTTGGATCTTTTGTTCTTTTGTCTGTTTTCATTTACGAACCATTATGATGTGGGTGAACAATCGCCATCCGAGTACTGCTAGTGGGAAGGTTCAAAACCTAAGAACTTTTCTCTTATTGTTGTTATGTTTGATATGTAGTTCTCATGGATGACGATGCGTTAAACATGCGCAATTGGGGCTACTATGAGCCGTCCTTTAAAGGCAATCTTGGCCTGCAGCTCATGTCCACCATTACCGAGCGGGACATGAAGCATTTCTTACCAGGCCGTGATCCCTCTGTTATGGTTAATGCTAATGGATTGTTTCATCCTCGGGATTGCGTTGTTTCGGAAGCACCAGTGCCAATGAACTATGTGAGGGACAATTGGGGGAACCCTAGAGATAGGTTTCTTAATATGTTACCTGCCAATCACAATTATCCTGTTCTTCCAGAAACTTCAGGTGCTCACTCCTTGCAGATCTTGCAAGCGCCCTCTTCATCTCGGGATGAGATAGCAGCAAGTAGAGTTGAAGAGCCTCCAGTGAAGAAGGAAGGTGGGAAAGCAAAGAAAAGACAGAGTGAGGCTGGTCCCAAAACCCCCAAAGCCAAAAAACCGAGGAAGCCAAAAGATAATAACGCTGCTGTGCAGCGTGTGAAACCACCAAAGAAGAATATCGATCTTGTTATAAATGGGATTGATATGGACATTTCCGGTATTCCAATCCCGGTCTGCTCTTGCACTGGAGCTCCTCATCAATGTTATAGGTGGGGATGTGGTGGTTGGCAGTCTGCTTGTTGTACTACGAACATATCAACTTATCCTTTGCCCATGAGCGACAAAAGACGAGGTGCGAGGATAGCTGGGCGAAAAATGAGTCAGGGTGCATTTAAGAAGGTACTCGAGAAACTAGCAGCTGATGGCTATAATTTTGCTAACCCAATCGATTTGAGGACTCATTGGGCGAGACATGGTACTAATAAGTTCGTCACAATCAGGTAGACTAATTCTGTTGGTACTTTCATGGATTTCCGGTTATGTCACGTCACGTCTGCTTGAATTGTGTATATATCTGCACCCTTCTGCAGAGTTCTGCTGGTAGTTTGTAGTTCATGAGTTTTATTAACATTTGATAATTGTTTTACGACATTTGGGACACTTTCGTTCTTTTATTTATTTTCCCCTTCAGCTTATGTGATACGTGCAAGCAAAAGAATTTATCTGGATGAACTTTCATTTATTGGAGATTCCTTTTGAAAGTATTTCATATTCTTTGATCCTTGTTGAAGATTAGTAACAGTTTCTCCTAACCATATTGTTGGAGCTTGTGATCTTCCCCTCCATGTAGCAAAGAGGAGGGGGAGGAAGAACACAGGCAATCTGAAACAAGTAAGTCTTCTGTTTCGCTTCAGGTAAGGCATATATGGATGATTTACTGGGTTGGTTCATGAATTAAAGTCCTGAAATAGTGTGTAACTAACATCTGTAAGATTTTGAAGTTCTTAAATTCACAAACACAACTACTGGGTAAGGTTGTGTTGTGTTTTGAACAGGTTCACTCATTCATGTGAGATCCTTTCTTGGGAAGGTGATTTCATTTTAGATCCTTTGAAATTGCTTCTGCTTTTATCTCAACTCTTGAAATTATTGAACAAGTTTTAAGTTATTTAGAATGGAAGTTGTTGGTTTGCTTTTATTCTGGATTTGTTTATTTTGGCTACCACATATCCTCCAGTTGAAGCAAAGTTGCAATCCTGCTTGACCTCTGTCTTTCTCCCAGACCAAGCAATCTCACTTTATCATGATGAAGTTTGCTGTGGTCGTGAGATATATAGAACTCTATTCTATGGACTTTTCTCGATCTTGTGTTCTGCAAGATTAAATGGAGATCTCTTGATATCAAATTCTTGTCAGATCTGCCCAATTTTTCTTAACATCGGATATAATAATGTATATGCTTCAGGAAACCTTAAAAAACAGGGGATCTGCTCATGTTGTCTTTTTCTGATTCTCATACTAACATTCAACTTGGCTGTTTTTTCCCTTCAAAATGAGGTGGAAATGAAGCAAAACCAAATCTTATATCAAATCAGAATGAAACCAATTGATTTCTTTGCCTGTTGTGACTTGGAAAACACATTTTATGCTGCTTGCCAGGGGTTGGGGCTTGCCTCTTGTCGATTTTACAACTGCTGAGGGAGTTGTTGGGGTGTCCACAAGATAGTTAAAAGAACGGCACAGCAGCACATCAAGATGAAAAGGATTACACTCAATATTCACAGAAAAACATCTGAAATATGCTTCTCCAAAAGATCAAGAATCTAAAATCAAATGGTTGCTTTTGTTTGAGAAAGATAAATATATACAACACATGAAAAACACTAACAAAATCCACATAACATCGTGGTCGGCACTCCCTACTATTATCAATCTTCCTATTTCAACATACAAGACTTTAGGTGCAATGGTTTCAAGCTACTTTATCTGTTATCGTTACTATCTATCTTATAACGTACATGGGGCTAAAAACACCGTCTTTATGCCTTTACGCCTTCTCGACCTCGTTAGTTGCAATCCTTCCTCCAAGCCGTCCTATCGAATCACAGTTGTAAAACTAGTTTACATTTTGTTTCCTATTCACAAGGTTGCTGCTGCTGCATTAGTTCAAAAGTATACAGATATCCAGTTTGTGACTGTTGAGTCTCTATCCTGCAGACATAACACGACCAAAAGCTAAAATCAAATCACAAATAGAGCAAAGTCAAAGAAAATAAAAGAGCTAAGTTTTAAAACTGAAGAAACCGAACGACCAACCAACCAACCAAACATTTGTGGGTATCTTTGGTTTTTATACAATTTTAAAGCTGAAAACATGTTAGTTCGTTTTGGTTTGCTTGATTACTAGTGGAGTTTTTTCGTTCAGATTTCGATTAGTCAGAAAAGAATATGTAGAGCATGATAACAAAAGAAATGGAATTGAGACTTGAGGATATTAGAATTGGGCAAACATACCATATGATGAGAGCCTTCGGATTTAACTTGGGGGAGGAGAACCTGGCTCAGATCCATAAATGGAAGCATATGACATTGTATCATCCTTGGATATGGCCACAAAATTCAACGGTGTAGTAGACAACCTCCTCATTTCTTTAAAGTATCCATTTTGGCGCCCAGAATAGGATCTAGGAGTCAGGAGCTCCGGAGTCGCACCACCCACAGAGTTTCGGCGAGGCGTGGGTGGCATCGATCCATTCCCATTTGCACGATATCCATTAGGCTTCCTAAAGCTGTTACTCTTCCGAGGGCTGGGTTTCGATCCGTACATAGCTTCCTTCTCTGTAAGGAGCAGATCTTGGAGCTTCTTTTGGTCCTGAGAATGGAAGATTCATCTTCTTTAAGCTAATTACAGTAAAGCAAATGAATTAACTTGGTAATTCAAAATGTGGGGAAGGGGTCGTAAACCCGTCTTCTATCGGTATAGAATGTTCAAATGGAAAAAGATATGGCATAAGGTAAAGTACCCTGTATCTCTTCTTCTCCTCTTCTCTGTGTTGTCTACTTAATTTGTAATCTTCAAGTATAGTCACCAATCTTGCCTGAATGAGGATGAACTGATGAACTTTCCAATACAACTAATGCAGATGACTAAAGAGAAAGGAGGGGAGCGCAAAACTTACCCCATCATAAAGAAACATAGTCTTCTTTTCGTCTTCCCAGGCCAGAGTTCTGTTTATCAGATTATCAACAATAGCTGAAAAGAAACAAAACACCATTAGTTACAGCATTCTCTTGTAGTTGTAGTTTTGGTTTTGGTTTTGGTTTTGGTTTTGGTTATGGTGGCTGTACTGCAGATTGGTTTTGAGTGGGTTATAAGTATTTTGAATATTTCTTTGCTATTTGATTCTGTGGCTGGATTTAAGACTTTTTCTGGTTGAGTGGGTGGATTTTGTATGTTTTGTTGGTTAGATTTTAAATGATTTAGTGATTAGTTTTTGGGACATCTTTTAGCTTCATTTTGTGGGAGGTATCAATTTCACCAGACGAGAAGTTGCTTCCTGAGAAAAATACCAGGGATTTTGCTAACAGTCACTCTAGCCCGCTCCGCACGCTTCAGATTAACATGTGAACCTCTCCCTGCATTGTAACGATTCTCGTCCTGCAATTCGAGTGACAAGATGTTAATGCAATAGAGCGAGCAAAAATAATCCCTTCGACTCTATATGCTAAACTAGTAGTACGGTTTGAGTAACTTTTATACATGCACGCGGTATAAAAAGTAATTGACATCTCTCAGATGTTGCAGACACAACCAAAATAATCAGCTTACTTGATTATACTCTTCAAGCCAATTTTCTTCTTCACATGCCAAGAGCCAGCGGTCTACTCTGTCCATTATTTCTTTTCGACTCGTCGCTTCTTCTTTTACTTTGACGATTTGCACTTCAATGTTTTCGAGAAGTTCAGAAGGATCTACTAGACCTATAAATCAGCAAAGCATGTAAAAGAATCAAGTTTCTTGTTTTTTGACCGGGATGAGACCAAGCAGTTGATTGTCATAATTGAGGAAGAGTAACTCTGTAGGAGATTTTAGCAACCTAGAACTTGAATACCTGAATCTATCAAAGCATTTGATTTCTCAGGAGCTGTGCTAGGATCGGCTTCGATATGAGTCATTCTACAAATCTCCTCCAACTCCGACCTCCTTTTCATTACGAGTTGTTTCATTCGACCCGCTTTAAATTTAGTTAACCTCTCCACTTCTGCTGATGCCTGGGGACGGCAAAATGGAACTTGAGCATATCGACATTTCGAAGGTTAGCATGAAAACCATAGTGAGAATGCTCCAAACCTGTTCGATAGTCTCTGCGGAGAGAAGACCCGGTTCCGTGACTTCGACTTCAGGTGCATGCATGATTGAAGTTATCCGAGAAAACTTTCTCTTTTCATCATGTGAAGAGTCCATCAAATTCCAAAGTTCAAATAACGATGTTACAATGTCCTTCAACTGCAGATGGAAGCAGATTCTATGCTTAATAGAAAAGACAAATGAAATCGAAATCTCGAGCGAGAATCTGCATGAGATTGATTACCTTCTGGATTCGAGCTTTCCTCTCTGCTTTCAGTGTCACAATGGTCTGCTCTAGGCCCTTCAATGTGCTGTTGCTGATATTTGTTGCTTGTTCCACACTAGTCGTGATTTCTAAGCTTGGATGAACATCACTTACAGTCTGGCCGAAATCCAAACCAAGAACACCACAGAGAGAATGAACCTCACTAACATGTTCCAAAACCATGTGAAGTCGATCGGACTGCAATGGACAGGAAAAAACACACAAATTTCTTGTCAATTGTCATTCAACCATAAGATATCGTATCGTTTAGTTAGTATTTTCAAACCTTCTCTTTTTGCAGGGCACGAAGATGACTTTGATATTCATTAAGCTTTCTCAGAGATAGGTCTGTTTCTTCCATGGTTAAAGAATTGATGATCATGTGATCATTAAGATGGCTGTATCCCGATATCTCGACACTAATCTTCTCGATTTGGGCTTTTATATCTCCGAATTGCTTCAAACGCTCTTCTTTCTTTGTCTTCAACTCTTCTACTAGGGGACTAATAGAAGCAAGCTTTTCTTTCAATGTCTTCGACCTCTTCTCAATCTGACTCTGTAACCAGCACAGGAAACAGATTAGAAACACAAGAGCCACCAAAATGGTCATTGAACATAATTCAAATCTTGCCAATCAAAATATGAACAATCACAATGACCCATAAGCCTGTCCTCGAATTCTATGAACTTAGACGTTCAACGGGAGAAACCTTTACCGGAGAATTTAATTCACCGAGAGCAGCCATCAAGGTTGCAACCTCGGCTTCCTTCGACGCAACGGATTGATGGAGTCGTGCCTTGGCATTCACAGCTTCCTCAACCTTTCTCCGATACACTTCCAAGCATTCCCGCTCCAATTCTAGTAGCATACGGTCTTTATCAGCTTCGCTCTCGCCAATGTCGCTCCATATTTGCTGATATCATAAGAATTGATAGATAGTCAGTAAGCTTCTATCAAATGAGGAACCGCAGATGAACAAGTACAGCAAAGAAAAGTTGAGAGAACAGTATCATTCAGACGAATTATGAAGATAAAAATGCATCAAATTCCCCCATATTATGCTTCTTACCAAGCATCACAAGAAAATGGAATTAAACCACCTCCCAACCAGATACAGTGAAATTTTAGGACAAAGCTAAAGAAAGAGAGGGAAAGGGAAGCAAAATTGGGAGGAATAGAGAAGGGGAAGGCAATCAATTTAGAGAACACCCACAAAAAGCATTCAGAAGAGAATCCTGAGTCCTTAAATGGATGAACAGTAAAAAATTAGTCTCCCCTGTCTTCAAAAGAATAATTAGCAGCTAACATATAGCCCCCAAACAACTCATCATGAGCCTCAATGGGAAGAAGCATAATAAAGGATAATTCTCACAACCCATCATTGTGAAGCAGATTGCAAAAGGAAACAAGAAAGAAGAGAGCAAAAGAAAAGAGAAAAAAAGAGAGATAGACCTGAAGTTCTCTGAGTAAAGCATTGCAACTAGAGCTCGTGCGCACACTGGTAAAAGGACTACCAATACCAACAGCCAGCATTTTTTTTTTCTTCCTTTCAACAGATCTCGATTTCACCAATCAATAAATCCCCAATTTGCCCAAGACCCAAAAGGGGGTGCTGAATTTTGACCAAACTGAAATTTCTCAACAGCTCTCAACAAACAGAGCTTCAAAACCTACAAAGAAAAAGCTACCAAGAAACTAGCATGGCAAGTGAGTGTTGATACTTGAAGGAACTCGAGAACAGACCAAGAAAACAAGACCCATTTCTAGTGTCTATGCCGCTTCAGAAATCCTCTGCTTCCTCAGATCTGAGAACCCAAAAGCCATTTCCCCACCACCAAGAAACCCATCTTCGTTCCTCTTCCAAATTCCTTCTCTTTTCACAAACCCCTTCCTTTCCAGCTCGAAAACCGAACAAAGAATGCTAAAGAAAATCTCAAAGAAGACACCCAAATGGGAGAGCTCAGAGAAACTGAGAGAAACAACAGAAAGAGAAATGGGTAAAGAAGAATCCGGGGAAGGAAATCATTGCCATCATTATTAGAAAAAAGAAATATATGCAAAGGGAAATGCAGCAGAAATTTTTTTTAAAAAAAAAAAAAGAAGAAGAGAGAGCTTTTTAATATAAAAAGAAGAAGAAGAAGAAGTGGAAACGGTGAAAAAATTGGAAAAGGATTTAAAAGAAAAGGAGAGAAGAAGAAAACATCACTTTTTGGAATTTGGAGGGCGTGCTAAAATGCGCCAACGTGGCAGGTAACGGTAACAGATACGCGGCGCACGTTAGCCAAATTGAAAATAAAAAAAATAAGAAAATAAAAAATAAAAATCAAGAAAATAAAAAATAGAAGCTTAAATTTTTTTAGTAATGAAGAAGGAAGGAAGCAGCTTGTTTTTATTACATTAAACAACGGAAATTCAATCCCCACTTTTCAACCCCGCACGTGTGGTGTACTTTCTACTAACACAAAGTGAGTGCGTTTCACATATTAAACCAGCGCGTGGATTTGATAAGTAGAACAGTCAATAGTCAGTCATGTTGCTGTTTTATTTTGGATTTTTTTAACTAATATTTTTGCCTATGTTTTAAAGAATATTTAAATATATATAGGTTAGAGTTAATAATAATAATAATAATAATAATAATAATAATAGTAACAATAATAATTAAGAGAGTTGTTTCGAGTCCATTTATAATCAAATGGATATTCACGCTTCGTATTAATTGGAATAAAAATAGGTAGACTGTAAATTGTTTTACAAATTTTTATATTCAATCAATTTCACCAATCTTTTTTCTTTCCCAATTTATGGCTTGCTTTACTAAAGTTTCAAAAAGAATTTCATAAAATTTATGAAATCCAAATTCAAAATTTGATAACATAATTCTTTTAGAGACGATGATTAAATTCGCGGTGCCTAAAGCATGGAGAAAACTAATAATTAATTAATTAATTAAAGGAGTGTGTCATTATCTAAATTATAGTGAAAGCTTAACCTATGCTAATAATACAATTAAATCCCAAATGAAACCTTCCTAATAACATCACATCAAACATGCTTTCATATTTGTGATTTGAGTTTTCTATTAATATAATTAAGTTAATTACATTGTATTTGTCCTAAAAAAATAAAAAAAATAAATTTACATGATACCTAGATTTCAAATTAAAAATTAAAGAAAAAACACGTGAAAACTAGGAGAGAGATATAATTGGAAGGTGTAGGACAATTATAATGATACATTATTATGACTAATCTTGAAAGTCAATATATGAAATTGTTAATTTTATTTTAAAAAAATCTTGAGGAATTTAAATTAATTTAATCATTCGTTACTTTTCAAGTGTGTGATGGGTTTTCTTCAAAAAAAAAAAAAAAAGTGTGTGATGGGTGCTGACAAAACTGCAAGGAGCATATTTTGGAATTTTTGCAATTTTTGACCTGAGTTTGAAAATGATTTACTAATTGTAAATGATTTCCAAGGTGACCTTTTATATAATCTTATCATATCATGGGGTAATAATATTATGATTTCAGAAAAAAAAAAAACACAGAATTCTATATTTATTTATATAAAAAAGTATCATATAAAAGCAACACTTTTGTGCGTACGTTTCTGATTGTGTTTGATGTTTTTTAGTTGGTTTGAGTCATTTTGGACAATATTGAGTTAAGTGGGGTTTGATTTGGAATTTGGTTTATTAATTGGTTCACTGAAATTTTAAAATTTTAAATTTAAGTTTTGAAGATATATATTAAAACACTATTTATTCAAATTTAGGATAATATAATTCGAAGAAATAGAAGTTTAAGCAAAAATTGAGTACTCAGTGAACTAAGTATAAGAGTAAAATAATGGTTTAAGAAAAGAAAAAAATCACTACTAAGATCCTATTTGTTCCCATGTTTTTTTTTTGGGTTAGAAATGGTAACATCATGGAGATAAAATTAGAAAAATTCCACAACATTCCCTAAATTTAAATACGTATTTTAAAAATGTTGGAATTCTTCGTCTTTGTCAAATATAGCGTAAGTGTAACTTTAACTTTGATTTAAATTATGCTATTTTTTTTTAATAAAATTTCAAACTTCCTAGGAAAATACATATTTATAAATATTTTATAATATTCATCTAAATACCTCTCCCATTTTAAAATTGGCAAACAACAAATATAAGAAACAAGAAATCTTTATATATTCTATTATAATTTCTAAAAGGAATAGAGAAACAAAAAAACATCACCAAACACAATTACTATTTCTCAAAATGTGAAGATAAGAAATAGGGAAACATGAAGCAAACATCATCAAATGAGCCATAGAAAATGACACATGAGAGAGAGAGAGAGAGAATGGCCAACATAGTTGAGTTCAATACAACTCTTTGTGAGTTGGCATTCAAAAACCCTAAAAAAAGTTCTTTTAACCCTTCAAACTTCAAAGATATAAATATGATCACTACATCTCTAAAAGTTGCATTAAAAAGAAACAATAATCACTCTCAACCTTTACAAAAAAGATCTTTAAAGAAAAAAAAAACACTTTAATGGTTAATTAATTAAACTCTCTCTCTCTCCTCTCTCCCCAAATCCAATGCCATTTCTCAACTTCCTAAGTTTGTTGATGAGTTAAATGAGAGACAAAGTTATAATGTTGCACATGGGATTGGTATAAAAATTTGGACAAAAAAAAWTCCCCTTTTTCCTTTCCCTAAAAGAAAGTTTATTTAACTATATGCGATGCACATAAATTAAGCAAACACATGAATAGGAGAATCAGAAGTAGCAATGGCACATCCAAATATATATATATATATATCTATATATATATATATATATAAGTTTTCATATCATACAAAAAACCAAACCATTAAAGTAAATTCTTCAAACCCAACTTCAAAAAGGGAAAAAGGAGAAGTCTTTGACCAATTACATGAGAGGTTTTTTGGATTTTTTTTTGTTTTTTAATTATTATATATACATTTTTTTTATAAAGGAACCCATTATTATGTCTTTACTTTTGTGATATTTAACCTACAACTAATTGTGTAGGAATTAAAAAAGAAAGTAATAAACAATAAAAAAAACTAATTTATTTACATATATTATCTTATTAATTTACATATTTAAATTGAGTAACTAATAAGGTATTGGATTTATCTTTGGCACCCTCAAAATGAAAGTTACCAATTTTCTTATATTCTTTTCTAATAATATTTCTTTTTCCTAACATTTGTTTTTYAGTACAATAGCATATGTGAGAGTGTGTGGTTCAAACATTCGACCTCTTGACTGAGAATATATATATTGACCCGTTGGTTTAGAATATGACATTTTGATTGATTAAAAAATGGATAATATACAAAATATAAGGATGAACTAAATCAATGTTGAAAAGAAACATAGAGTAAGACCTAAAAACATGCAATGATTTAGGAAATGTTACAATTAATTAATTGGTTGGAGAATTGGGATGGGTAAAATTAATAATTTTACTGAGGAGGGTTTAAGTGGAAAAAACCAGCTTGAATTTGATGGACTGATAAGCCCTTTCATTTCTTGTTGCTGTGTTGGCCCCCCTTTGCCTACCATCTCCTTTCACAACTTGCCTCCTCATTATCCTCATACAGATGTGACATTTCATCTCTCCAAACACATAAAATTCCATTCTATGCCACATGGGTAAAAGAAAAAGTAGTTACAAAAAAGTAAATACATGATAGTAAAAAAATACATTATTTGAGTATGTCTTGTAGTTACAAAATTGATCTATGGATTGTTTAATTATACGAAGTTGTATCTAAGAGAATCCTGTTCGGAAATTATAATTTCCTCTCCCATAGAAAATATTCATGTACAATCACAATATTCAAATAGGAAGATAAACTGTAAAAACAAGAAAACGATACAATAAATTATAGTGGTTCACCACTAAGGACTACGTCTAGTCTTCCACTCAGATGTGGGTAATTCACTAGTAATTGTTTAAGGATTGGATACAAAACTCTCCCAAAAATATCTCCTAGAGGTCCTAACAAAAGTCCCCTAGCTTTTAAGTATTTTGTACAATTAATACTTAGGTACATGAATGAAAAACTCATAAGAATCAAGATACAATTACCCCGATAATGACGATCTTGATCAACCCCAAAGCCTTTGTCAATGCTCGAGCCACTGCCACCGATTTGCTGCCAAAACCTGTTTAAAATCGGCTGTAAATAACCCTCTTTTCGGCTGGTAAACCCTAAAACCTGTAAAGGAGTATTTGTAAACATCGAAACAGCGTCTTGGCACTACAGACGCAAAGACGAGCCCACATTCTGCAGCGGTGCCATGGTGCTGTCTTCTTGGCCCGAGTGGCCTGTAGCGTCCCGCTTTCTTGTTTTTCATCCCCACTTCGATCCCAACGCGTCCCAACTCCTAACTCATTTCTAACTCGTTACAACGTCGTTTTGACTCCACCAATCTCAACAAATTCTTTCTCATATACATTATTTACTATTTATGACTCTGTGTTCTTTTTGTCGTTCAAAAAGAATATTTGGAATTCATGACTTTATGTCGACTGTTTTGGAATATGTTCAAACCACGTAATAAAGATGTAGAGTGGTTTTCCTTTTTCTTTTCCTAATTATAAAAGTGTGTATAATATTTGTTTTAAAGATTCAAGAATTAAATGATTTGAATAGATGACTATTGGCTACTAAAAGAGATATATAGATATACGTTTATTAAAATAATCACGATTTGACAATATTGTTAACTAAAAGTATCCTATCTCTCTCCATTTTTTTTTCACCACTTGATAAGACAAATAAAAAAGTAAAGGGACATTGGGTGAAATTTTCCATTGACAATTAATGAA